CATCCACACAATAAATTCATTTGACAGTAAGGAAGCAGAATCAAACAGAGTAAGCATCTTGCCTGTGATCACACCACTGAAAAGAACAGAGCCAGCATTTGAACACCTCAGGTCTGTCTAATTCCAAAGTGCCTAGTCTTTCTGCTAAGCCACTGCCAAATGGTGAGTAATTTCTTGTTTATTTGTTTATATGAAAATAAATTTTCTATTTGTTTATATGAAAATATAAACAAAATGTCTATTTGTTTATATACAGGACCTATGTCAGAGCAGAAAGCCCATAGTCTAGGAATAATAGAAATATTTGAGTTTTTACCTGGTGTTCAGAAAATTCCTAGGACCCATTAGGGGATTTTTCTATTGTTGTATCTAGCATAAAATTTCCTGAGATCAAATTTCCTGGTTCTATGGGAGATGGCAGGAGCACAGGCTTTGAAGAAGATGGGCCTACATTAAAATCTTAACTCTGCCACTTATTAACTAAGTGACATTAAGCAAGATGCTTTACCTCTGAGCCTCAGCTTTCTTGTCTGAAAAAATGAGACTGGCAGTATCAATCTCATAGGATTGTTGCAAGTAATAAACCTCACTGAGAGAACCAAGTGTGGCAGGCAGCCCTCTGAGATAGCCCCCAGTGTTTCCATCTCATAGTATTTCTACCCTTGTGTGATCCCCTCCCTTTGAGTTAGGACTGTACTTGGTACTTGCTTCTAAGGAATAGAATACAACAAAAATAACGGAATGCCTTGTCTGAGACCAGAGGTGATTTCCATATTGCTAGGACTTTGGGGAAGCCAGCTGCCATGTTGTGCTGCCCTATTGAGAGTTCTCTGGGGCAAGGAACTGAGATTGGCCTCCAGTCAACAGCCAGAGACAAACAGAGGCCTTCAGTCCAACAGCCTTTCAGGAATGAAACCCCACCATCAACCATGTGAGTGTGTTTGGAAGAGCATCCTGTCCAGTTAACCTTGAAAGGACTTAAGCCCCAGCACATGTGATTACAGTCTCCTGACAAACACTAAGCTGAAGGACCCTGTTAAGTGGTGTACAGAAACTGACTCACAGAAACTGTGAGATAATAAATGTGTGTTTCAAGCTGGCTAACTTTGGGGGTAATTTGTTATGCATCAATAGATAGCTAATACATGAAGAGATCTAGAATCTGAATGCTTTTTCATTTGAGAAGATATAGCCCAAAAATGAAAACTAAAATCAATTCTAAGCTTTTCCGTGTTTTGTGAAGGTAGTCAACGCACATACAATTTTACAACCCACTGCCACACCAAAAGTTTCCCTCCCCCATCCCACTACACCTGTTACACCTGTTCTCTCACAACCCCAATGGCTGACCCAAAGCTTTTCTTAGTGCCTGACTCTCAACTGCCTACTAAAAACTTGTGGTCAGACTCAGTCCCTCATGGCCCTTCTCTGTTCTTCCACTCTGCCTTTCTTTCCACTTCTATTCCTTCTTCTCTCTGGCAGAGCGATCTTGGCCATGTCTGATACAAATCATCAAGGTCTCCTCTCAGTTCTGCCTCTTCAGGTTCTAACAAAGCCAATGAGTAGGGCAGACCTAGACAGTGCTTATCTGAGAGAGTGGGGTGCAGGAAAGTCTGTGAATGCTCACTTAGGGTTAATGTTTGACCCTGTCAACATTGGCAATGAGTTTGGGCTGCTCCGTGGACATGCACAAATCCTACAGTGTCTGGGTTTCTGCTTGGGAGAAAACAGCTAGTCTTTAGAAAAATAGCAGCTATTAGTAGACAATTTTGAGGGTGTCATCCACCACTTATAAAGAAATTGGGCCCTCTGGAGGGAAATTTCCCACTAAAACCATTTTATAGTTTCTCTATTTGTGATTATACTGAGGGTGGGGTGGGTGGGGTAGACTATAAGTATTTATGAGCTAGAGGCATTTTATAGACTCATGAATTAAGTAAGGATTTTATACTACAGCCAAATGATTAAAAATGAGAATGATTCAGGCAGAAAGAGTGCCAAGTTCTACCAAGACTGAATTTCTCAAAGCCTCACAAGCCAGTGTCTGGTTAAAAGTTTGCTACGATCCTAATTTGAGAGCATTGAGATAACTCTGAGTATACATTAGTAAGCTGTGTGGAATCATTATCTTCCCTAAGTAGATTCAGTTCCAAGAGCAAGCACTTAAGTAGCTTATTTCAGGCAAGAAGACTGCTGTAAATTAGCTAACTCCATTACTTTCATTGCAGTGCTTATCTGGCCCTAAAGGACAGCCTTGGGGAGAAAAAGAGAGCTCTTAACTGCTAAGGCCAGAGAATGGCTCACAGGCAGGCATCAAAGCTCAGCCTCAGAAGTGTCTATGCACAGAAGACAGTGCCATTAGCTGCCCTAAATGCCACCACTTTGGGTTAAAAGATTCTCTCCTGTTATTTTCAGGAAGAGAATGAGCTCTGTGAAGCCAAGGGTGATATCCTTCATCTCAGAACATATTCATATTCTAAGGTGCTCTGTTTTTCACTAAGCCATCAGTTCCTGATCTCTAAGGCAGGGTTAATGGTACACTCTAGGAGCTGCAGAGAGCATTATCAATCCCGCATGTGGAGCTCCTAACCCAAATCTGGAATATAGTAGTCAGTCAACAGACATCTACCTAAATTGATGAGTGAGGAGGAGAGTATTGCAAGGGAAACCATGGACAAAAAACTAACCAGAAACATGTACCTCTGTCATTGTCTATGTGTGCTATCCATCAGACACCATTTCCATAGACAAAAAGCACCAGAATACATAGAGAAAGACAATATTTTTACAAAGTGCTCTACTGGTATGAACTCTACTGTAGTAAAAATAATTGATATATAGTTAACTGTTCATTTATTATCATTATCGCCATTTTATATGAGGACAAGTTGCTTAATATTTCAGTGATTAAGTAATTTACTACAACTGTTCACAAGTATGTAATAAAGATTTTATAATAATATCTTTTGAGTACACACTACTTGGCAGGAACTTAATATACATTACTTCTTTTGATATTTTCAGCATCCTCATGATTTAGCTGGGGACTATGAAGCCCATTTAACAGAGAAGGAGACAGAGGCTCAGAGAACTTAAGTGACACTGATCAGAAAGTGGCAGAGCCAGGTGGTGTGGTCCACTCCGAGGTAGTTGTTCCCGGCTGCAGAACCCAAGTGCTTCATTTCGACACTGGGCTGTACATGCTCATGGATTGTTTTAGGATTAGACAAAGTTTCCTGTGTGGGTGTCAGCCTCTAGGAGCAGGACAGGTCACATTCAGTTTTATGTTCCTCTTAGGATGGACAGTGCCTGGCACCAGACAAGCACTCCACAAATTCAGCATGTCTGTGTTCCTCCTGGGAAATGCCCTGCAAGAGTTAGACATATAGAAGGTATAGAAGGTAGATGAAATCTGGTATAGAAGGTAGATGAAATCTGTTGGGAAATGCACAAGTTGGGGTTCCCCAGAAACAGAATCAACATGACATAGATACCTACATATATAATGATGGACACCAAAAAAAAAAAAAAAAAAAAACCAACCCAGAATTATCTTTTGGAAGGCAGGCCCCTTGTAGTATACTCAAATTTGTTCCTCCAGATCAAACAGTTAACCAAAGTTTTTATCTGGAAGTTTTGAGAAGGTTGTGTCACAATTTGTGGAAGAAATGTCCTGAGTTATGGTAAACAGGTGACTGGTTCTTCCACCATGGCAACGTACCTGCCTACACCACACTGAGTGTTCAGCAGTTTTTGACCAAAAACAGCATGACCCCTGTGGCCTACCTTCCCTATTCACCAGATCTTGCCCCAAGCAGCTTTTTGTTTGCCTAGATGAAAAAAGTACTCAAAAGGAAACATTTTGCCAATGTGGAAAAAGTGAAACCAAAAATGGCAGAAGCACTTAAAACCATCAAAATTGGTGAGTTCAAAAGCATCTTAATAGATGTATTGCATCAAACGGAGAGTACTTTGAAGATGACTGAAGTTTCAACATGTAAGAAAGATTACACACATTTTTATAAATAAATGTCTGTTTTGGGGGATTACCCCCTTCATAAATAGTCATGTACCACATAGCAACATTTTGGTCAACAATGGACCACATATACAATGTGCTTCCTTAAGATTAGAATACCATATTTTTACTGTACTTTTAAATGTGATTAGATATACAAATACTTACCACTGTGTTTCAGTTGCCTACAGTATTCAGGATAGTAACATCTAGTACCGGTTTGTAACCTTAGAGCAATAGGCTCTGCCATATAGCCTAGGTTGTAGGTTTGTGTAAGTACACTCTATGGTGCCCACACAATGACACAAAATTGCCTAATGACACATTTCTCAGAACGTATTTCTGTCATTAAGTGATGCATGACTCTGTGTATAGGTGAATGGAAGGATAGATGAATGGATAGGTGGAGGGATAGATGAAGGTGATGGATGGATGGATAGATAGGTAGATAGATAGATAGATAGATAGATAGATAGATAGATAGATAGATAGATAGATAGATAGATAGACAGATAGGTAGGTAGGTAGATAGGATGGGTTCACACAATTATGGAGACTGGAAAATCCAAAATCTGCAGGATGGGCCAACAAGCTAGACACTCAAGAAGAACTGATGTTGCAGCTGAAGTCTGAAGGCCAACTGCTGCCGAATTCCCTCTTGCTCAGGGGAGGTCAGTCTTTGTTCTATTTAGGCCTTTGACTGATCGGATGAGTCCAACCCACATTATGGAGGAGAACCCACCAATTTAAGTGTTAATTTTACCCAAAAGATACGCTGACAGAAAACATCCAGAGTAGCACTTAGACACATATCTAAGCACAGTGACCCAACTAAGTGGACATATAAGATCGACCATCCCAGAAAGTAAGATAGATCAATACGAAAAATGCAGACATGGATTCACAACTCAGTCTTCCAGAGACAAACAGAGTAACACCATGCTCTCTGGTGGTGCCCACCTGGGTTCCAGCTCCCTCTGTTGGTGATGTAGAGTAAGCATAACCAAGAGTCCTGGCTGGAGGCTGTGAGTTGGATTAGGGTACTGTGACAGGGAAGCCCAAGGAGAAGCAGTCAGATATCTCCTATAAAGAAAATTTAAATAAAAATCTGGTTGGTCCAGTATGTCTGTGTGGGTGGGGTTCCAAATGTCCCCTCAGAACCTCAGAGGGACATCCATTAATGCCAAGGATGTACCACAGTCCCAGGTCTGACTCAGACTTAGAAATCAATTGTTTTTTAGAGCACATAGAAAGGCCTTTTCTCTCTAGTTACCCCACAAGCTGAAGTATAAAACCTGAAAGTTCATATCTTATGCTACTGTTTATAACTGCCACACGTCAGATTGATCCTTTCTAATGTAAATTAGATGCACTTGCTCAAAATTTCCAATGAATACAAGTCAAAGTCCTTGTCACCGCCTGCAAGTCTGTATCTCCATTCCCTGACACCCACGACAGCCTTTCCTGAGCGCTCCAGCCACTCTGGCCCCCCCATCCTTCCTCCCTCTCATCAAGGTCACCCCCTTCCCCCTCTCAGGGCCATTGCCTCCTTACTGACCAGTCCCAGCCCTTCCAACTGGCCCATTCCTTCTTTTAACAGGTTTATAGATCCAGGAACTTCTTTCAACAGCCAGAGAGAAACGAAGTCCTTCGGGCCAAAGTCATCCTGTAAGGGATGGAACCCCACCATCAAGCATGCAAGTGAGCTTGACAGGGCCTCCTGCCCCCGTTAAACCTCAAGAGGACCACAATCCAGCAACACCTTGATTACAGCCTCAAGAGTGCCCCTAAGCTAGAGGGCCTAGCCAAGCTCTGCCCTGATTCCTAACTCACAGAACTGTAAAATCATAAATGTGTGTTGTTTTAAGCTGGCTGAGTTTTGGATTGAGTTTTTTTGCAGCAATAGATAGTTAATGCCCAAATTATGTAGCTTCTGCATAGCATCTGGTTTTAATAAACGTAGTCCAGCAACCAGAAATAATTGGAATCCATTCCAATCTTTACTGGTATTTGTGAAGAAAGTCAAGGCATGACAAAAAGACCATGGGGATGTTAAGAAAATATCCCTGAGAGAGCAAAGTGATATTGTAAAGAGGGGCCATAAAAATGCCATATTGGTCAAGGTGGGCTAACCTGGTAACGAACAAACACCAAAATATCAGAAGATTATTAACACAACAGACATTTAGTTTCCCTCCTGCTAAGTCCAATGTGGATGTTCCTGATGAATGTTTGTCCTCCACCAATAGGGCGACCAGCCATTCCAGTCTGTCTAGGATTCAAGGGTTTTCAGGACATGAACACTCTATGTTAAAACTGGAAAAGTCCCAAGCAAACCAGGATGAGCTGGTCACCCTAACCAAAAATGACCCCTAGAGCCAGTTCAGCTTCCTTCATTGGATCTTTTACATTCAGCCATATGGCAGGTGAGAAAGACCATGGGGAAGCCACTTCTACTATACAGCTTTGTCCCCAAAATGACACTTCACTTCTGATCATATTCCATTAGTGAGAACCAATCACATCTCCTCTCAGATGCAAAAAGGCTGGAAAATGGTGTTTATCTATGTCCCCAGAAAGAAGAAATGACTTTGGTAAGCATCTAGCCAGTCTCTACCCAATGCCCCAGCTTCCTGTGGAGCCAATTATTGAGAAGGGGCTCCCAACTTTCCCATTTGTCTACAATGGGTGCAGAAGGTAAAGGAACGTAATAGGACTGGTTTTCCTGCTGCCCCCACAAAGTGTCCAAGAAGAACTGCAGAGAGCAAAGTATTCCCCAACATGGGGGCTTTGAGGTGAATCTCCTGCTGAGAATGGCAGGGTGAGAGATTTTGCCTCCTAGATTTAACTGTGCCGGAAAGCTATGAGGGGTCCCATGGTTTCTTAAAGCAATTAATGTGTCCCTTGGAAGTGCTCAGATCAAATTCTGATTATGTCAAAAGAGCAATTCCCAAGGTTTGCAGCAGACATCAGCCACTGTTTAGCTTCTACAAGGAATGGAAGAAGTGGGCCATCCTCCCTGGTCCTCTGATGAGTCCCCACCACAAGTCTTCTCCCTCTCGCTGCCTCCACCAAATATTGTTGTCAAAACAACTATCATTCCTCATGGAACCTGGTGCCTTTCATCAGTGTGATGCTTATTTTCCTTTGCTCTAGAAATTGTAGTTCTAGAAAATCACCATGCTTCTATTTTTTGATTATAAATGCTGTTGCTTTGCTTTTCCTGCGGCTACAATTTAGTTGGACTCACTCCTCCCTCCAACCTGTTAGTGGTTCCTCAAAGGCTGCACACCTTCACTTAATGCATACTTTTGTGGTACTTACATCTAATAAAAACCTGTTTTTGTCATTGTGGCTAGCCACAAAAGTCCCAAATCGTGTGTTATATTAAAAAAATAAACTACACCTCAGCCGCCTCCATGAATTTACGCCTCCTGAGACAAATCGCTATCCTCGTAAGCCACTACTTCTTGTCTCAAAGAGACTGAATGAAGCCCACCATGGGGCAGTCCAGCTTAGCAGGGGCTTTATGCTTTGCACCAATAAATGCCCCAACTTGTTTGCTGGTTTTGTTTTGACAGCATTGGAGCTTGCCTGGGTTGCTTATATCCACCTCCACTTAGCCCAGTCATGGCCTTCTTTGCCAGAACTCTCCTGAGAGCCACCGCAGCAACTTTAAAACTCAAGCCCCTTTTCAGTTCAATTGATTGTACTTATGGAATGTCTCCATGTAGGGGCCATTGCAAAAAATGAAAAGAAATCCAACACCCTCAAACTAGGAGAACTGCTTTTAATTTAATTTAAAACATTTGGTTGTATTTTGTAAGCCACACCAGGCTAGGTGTCCAACCACCTGCAAACAACCAAAATCAGAAGTTAATCATACAGCAAAACCCCTTGGACAAGTGTTCACATCCAGGAAATCTAACCCTTGGTGACTCTGGCCCTTGTGAGCAAATGAAGAGAGGCATCTAGTCGCTGCCTGCCTGCAGGCAGCATATCCTGGGATAATTGTGGGGAAGCATCAGTTGCACAAATAGGAAGCCAGGTTGTAGCTGTGGAAGAAACAGCACAGAGACAAACCACCCCATAATCTTCACACACTGGACTTGTGTTCCCTAGAGTCCCCTGTATTCCCTGTTGGGATCAATGTAGACACTATCCACTCAGTGTTCCCATTAGTCACCTTCACCTCCTTCAGGCCAAACCATTCACAAAGGCCTCTCCTTCATACCTATCCTCGTCCTCACCGCCAGAGGTCTCACTAAATTCAGACCTTCCAAGTCTCTCACCTGGACTTCTGCAGATTTCTTTTGTTAGAATTTCCGCATATCCATCCATCACACGGCTGCCAGAGTTACTGTCAAAAAATATATATGGGGTCTGACAATTAAGTTCACGAACTCATCCTAGAAAAAGTGCTATAGAGCTCGTTGATGAATATCACTACAGTTACCTTTGAAGTACTCCCATTGGGAAGCTATGCACCAATGCCAGCACCTAGTCCTCCTGTCAAAGCAGTTGAGTACTCTAAGGGGAGTACTTCAAATGTGACCATATTATTCAGCAATGATGTAGGTAGTACTTTTTCTAGGATGAGTTAGCGAACTTAATTGTCTGACCTCATATGATCCAATCATGCACTGCATAAGAGCAGCCCCTGCCTCCTCCTCACCAGAGCCTAAAGGGTTCTTCACATTTGCAACCCCCCAACCATGCCCCACTTTCCTTTCTAGCCTCCTTTCCCACTGTACCACACCACACAGGCCACTCCTGGCCTAAAGGGATGTCTCTCCTTCAAGCATTGCCTTGGTGCGTGCCGTGACCTCTGCCTTGAGCATCCTGTCCTTGCCCCATTTCTACACCTTTTCAAACTCCTATACAACACTCATGGCCCAGTTCCAAACAGGACTTCCTCTGTGAAACTACTCTGACGTCCCCAGCAAGGCTCGTTGCTCCTTTCTTTAGACTCCCAAAGACTTTGCCCCACTGATTCTGACTCAGGGCTTATACTTCCTCAGCACCTAGCACAGTGTATTACCCAGAACAAGCTCTTGGTGTCTGTTGAACAAATAAGGAGAAAAGGAAGGGAGGGGGTAATACATAAAAGTCACTTTTGTCCCTTTCAAATCCAAAAAAAATCACCATTATTATTCATTACTTGTCAAGGAAATACCAAACAAAGCCAGCAGGCTAGGTAGTATGAAAGTCAAGTTATTTTGTACTTTTGTGTCTATTACTTTTATATTTATGATGTTGACTGTATTGGTATCAAGTTTTAAGGGGAAAAATTACATGATTATCAGTGAAGACTTTCCTAAATGTGTCAAAATCTGAGTTAAATTGTCCCAAATTTCTCAATTCCAAATCTAAAAGACATACAGCTTACCATAGCACAAGAATAAATAATCCAGAGCCTTTACTTATTAAAATAAAAGAGAATTATCTAGCAATACTCAAAGCAAATTCTTAAAACTTCTCTCTAAAACATCTATGAATGCACACAGCAAAAAGAGTCAAAAATGAAGGCAAAGGGAGGCTCTATCATCCTAGAATCTAGAAAGAATGTCCACTAACTATAAGAAAAGACAGAGTAGGGTTGAGAAATATACATTTACACTCTATCTAATGGCATACCCATACTTGAATCAATGAGAAAAAAACCATTTGAAAATAGGTACTTCCATAAGAAACTTTATAGCTCCACCACAGTGTGTCCCTGGACTTCTAAATCCAGGTTGCGCAGCCATCAGTGGCCTGTTCAGCTACTGGGATGTGAGGGGACAGAATCCAGTTCCGGCAGTCAGAATCTAGTTCCAGAATCTGTACCTCCACCAGAGACACTTTAGAGATAACTTCTTTAACTGCAATATGGGAAATCTCTGCACCTTCTGCTTAATTTTGTGTGAACCTAAAACTCTAAAAAATAAAGTATGTTTTAAAAAAAACTATGATCCCCATTGAAGACAGTGTCATAGGTAGACTTATTGCTACTATGACTTTCTGCCTACACTCATAGTTGAAGGAAATGTTAAATTTCAGTTAGCTGTTGGTAAAAATGAATGTGTACTATTTTTATTCTCTCTCACCCCACCTTCCCCCAACTCAACCATCTTTAACTATCTTTTCAAATTCAGGGAGAAAAATGTAAATCCAGGAGTGAAAAGAAATGTGTATAATTTGGTGCATTCTGGGAATTGTAGTACCAATAAATAATGTACTGAAAGTGGGCTACATATCCACAATAAAGAGCTTAACTGTGAGAAATCATCAGAAAACAAAGAAAGGGACCAGCTTACAGAAGGTTTCAGAGATGCGGACAACCCTGAAATGACCTCCTATGATATCCAGGAGACAATGTCCAAATCTCTTTGGTGTCTTGTATAACATCACAGCCTTTCTGGGGAAGAAGCAGGAAGGATAATGCCACCTGAAATGAAAGGTAATAAGATTAGATCAGGGTTTTTAAACCTGAAGTCCACAGAGAGAATTCAGAACACACATGAACTTGAATGGGGAAAATATTACATTTTCATTTTACCAACAACTGAAATTTAGCATTTCCTTTAACTATGAATGTAGATTTTAAAAAACCATCATAGTAATAACTGTGCCCATGACATTGTCTTCACTAGAAATCACAGATGTTAACTACATTTAATGAGGATTACTGGGCACAGTGGCTTGCACCTATAGTTCCAGCTACTCAGGAGGCTGAGGTAGGAGGATTGCTTAGGCCGGGAGTTCAAGACCAGCCTGGGCAACACAGCAAGATCCTGTATCTAGAAAATAAAAATAAATAAATAAAAATTAAAAATAATACCGCTAACAAGGTTATTGCTAAAGATCATTTATGCTGATCATTACTTGAAGTTACAGTAGTTATTAGAATTGCTGCAAGATATTTTTATTTGATACATTATTAGTAAAAAAAAGAACCTAAATTGCCATATCACAATAGTTTAAAAATATTTTGCTAAATATATTTTAATTGTATTTGTTTCCTTGAAAAGTCTATGTATTTTTAAGTTATGCATTTAAAAACAATATTCTAACAAGTGTTTCCTAGGCTTTCCCAGACTGCGAATGGATCCTATGGATGAGATGAAAAGATAACCAGATACAATACTAAAGAATGGAAAGAGGGAAAAAAAGAAATACCTTAACTTAAATTCATATGAGAGGCAGCAAATAGAAGAATGGATGTGAAAAAATTGAATCAACGAAGGAGAAAACAAATTAGTTGATATTAAAGAGACAAATGCATGAGGAAATTTTGAGAGATGATACATGATATAAAAGATGGGAAACAAAAAGCTAGTATGTAAATGGATATTTCTTACAAAGAGTTGAGTACAAATAAAACTACAATAATAACCACAAATTCTAATAAAAATGTGTCTAAACTGAAGATATTACCATGCATTTTGTAAGAATTTGTGATTTTCCAGGCAAAGTTAATGAAAAACAGACTCTCCTTGTACATTTGCAGAAAAAACTTTAAATGAAAAGTTAAAGAATATATATAGTACTAAATGCTTAAAAATTATTGAGCATACAAAAAATTGAGGCAAAATGATTGGAATCCAAGCAGTTTATATCTGACTAATCTTTTTCTTCTGTGAAAATAACAGAAATGCATAGTCTGATAGGCAAGGGAAAAAAAATCCCAGGCAAAGTTTTTTAAGAAATGAAAAAATAGGGAAAATATCCCAATACATTTTAATGATGTTAACATATCTCTAGTGACAAAATAACAACAGAAAGAGAAAACCATCATTCATTCCATTCATTCTCACTTACAATTTAGAAATCCTGAATAAAATTTGCACGGAGGCAGACACTCTTTTTACCTCCCCAACAATCATTCTCATTCCTTTTTCCTAAACACAAAGTTCACTTCTCATACTAGAGGCAAAAAATACCAGATTCCCATCTTCCCTGTTTCCTTTGCAGCTCAAGGCAACAACAGGACACATTCTAACAAGTGAGAAGAAAGGAAAGTGATTGAAATCTGAGGGAAAGACAGGCCTCTCTAACAGAGATGTGGGAAAATCTCTTTTTATGTCCATCTCTTACAATGCTGTTTTGGACATGGTTGCATGAGAAATGATCCTTGGAGCTACTGCAGCCATCTTCCAACTATGAAGAAAAGACCAAGGAAGTTGCAAACACGGAGCCAATCCCCTGATGCTACAAAACAAACCTCCAAACTCCTGGTGATAAAATCGTCACCATTCTTTATACTTCAATTAGTCATTTATTCAATATTCATACCCTAAGCGCCACATTAAATAAATCATGTGCAATAAGCAAGTAGAATTTGTTCTAGAAATATGACTAGTACAGCAATAGGAAATTACAGATATAATTTATTAGAGCAATATATTAAAGGGGGGGAAATATAGTTATTTGATAGATAACTGCACACAGTCTAACCACACTTTCACTGTGCCATGCGCTGCTTGTTTTGCATATACTAAATTATTTAATCCTGGAAGAGTCCTGTGAAATAGCTTATTATCCCATTTTATAGATGAAGCTATAGAGACATAGAAGTTAAATAACTTGCTCAAGATCACAAAGTTACTAAGAAGGAGAGCCAATATTAAACCCAGAATTCATATTTTTAACCTCTAAGATTCAGTTCATACCTACATAATAGTTCCTAAGATTCAATATCCCTTCTTAATTTTAATAAAGCCTTAGTAAACCAGGACTAGAAGGATATGAACTTTCTCTTATATTTGTGGTGAATAACTGAAAAACTAAAGATTTCAATGGAAGGTTTATGGGCATTTGTTATATTTATTTTTATTCTAACAAAGAAAAACTACATTCTTATTGGTCAATTTTACAAAGCAAGGACATGCATCAAAATCTTTTATATTTCATAATATAATAAGAAAAACAATTACATTACAATTTTGAACAGACAAAAAAAAGTTACATATTTTACAAAAACTTTGCTTGACTACTTGTCAAAACAAAGGTAAACAATTGAAATTCTACTAGTATTAACATGAGTTTAGAAAAGTGACTTATTATAAATTAAATCTATTTAAATATAAAATTTCTTATGTACCAGAATTAGCAAGATAGAAAATATAGTATTTTTAAAGTAGGTAGAAAAATATAATATTTTATAAGATTTTAAAATATAAGATTCTAAAAGATATACACAATAACATCAAAATAATAAGTAATAATTAAGAAGTATATAAAGAAAATTATAAGACACAAATAAATGGAAAGATATCTTGTGTTCATGGGTTAGAAGAATTGTTAAAATGTTCATACTACCAAAGCAATTTACAAGTCCAATGCTATCCCTATCAAACTTCCAATGACATTTTTCACAGAAATTTTTAAAAATAATTATAAAATTTATATAGAACCACAAAAGATCCTGAGCAAAAAGAACAAAGCTGGAGGCATCACATACTTTATCTCTAAACCAACTACAATACTATAATAATTAAAACTGTATAACGCTGGTACAAAAATGGAAATATAGACCAATGAAACAAAATAGAGAGCTTAGAAATAAATTCTCACTGCTACAATCAGTGGATATTTGATAAAAGTTTCAAGAACACACATGGAGAAAGGACAGTCTCTTCAATAAATGGTACTGGGGGAAAAGGATATCTACATGCTGTGGAATAAAATTGGATCTTTATCTCACTCCAGATACAAAAACCAACTCAAAACAGGTTAAAGACTTTGACATAAGACCTGAAACTATAAAACTCCTAGGGAAAAAATATATCTATACACATATATATAAATATGCAAAATAGATATATAAATATATCAAATTAATAAGCTTCTGTACACCAAAGGAAACAATCAACAGAGTAAAGAGACAACCTAAATATTGGGAGAAAATATTTGTAAGCCAAACATCTGATAAGAAATTAATATCCAAATTCAATACCAAGAAAACAAATAACTCATTTTAAAAATGTGCAAAGAATGTGAATAAACACTTCTCAAAAGACAACACACAAATGACCAACAGATATATTTTTAAATGCTCAATATTGATTATTATCAGGAAAATGCAAATTAAAACCATAGAGCCATATCACATCACATCTGTTAGAATGGTTTTTACCAAAGACAAAAGATAACAGGTGTTGATGAGGATATGTAGGAAAGGGAACTCTTTCTTTCCATTTTTATTTTAGATTCAGAAAGTACACATGTATGTTTAGTAACATGGACATATTGTGTAGTGGTGGGAATTGGGACACAGGTGGTCCATTCCCCAGATAGTGAACATCTGATCTCTAACCCCCTTACTCACATCTCCATTTATTAGTGTCCCCTACATCTGTTGTTTCCATCTTTGTGGCCATTTTGCTCCCACACATAAATGAGAACATGTGGTGTTAGTTCTTCTGTTTCTGAATCAGTTCACTTAGGATGATGACCTCCAGCTCCATCCATGTTGCTGCAAAAAGACATGATTTCATTATTTTTTATGTCTGCATAGTATTCCATGGAGTATATATACCACATTTTTCTTTATTCAGTCAATTGTTGGTGGACACTTAGATAGGTTCCATCTTTTTCTACTATGAATACTGCTGCAGTGAACATACAAGTATAGGAATCTTTTTTATATATTGATATCTTTTCTTTGAATAGATTCCTAGCAGTGGGATTGCTGGGCCAAATTGCAATTCAATTTTTATTTATTCAAGAAATCTCCATACTGTTTTCCATAGCAGTTGAACCAGTTTACAATCCCACCAACAGAGAAAAGAGAACTCTTACACACTGTTAGCGGGAATGTAATTAGTACAGCCAATGTGGAAAACAGTATGGAGACTTCTCAAAAAATTAAAATTAGAACTACCATATGATCCAGTAATCCCACTCCTGATCCAGTAATCCCACTCAGTATATATTTAAAAATTTTTTAAATGGAAAAACAAATCAGTATCTCAAAGAGATATCTATATTCCTATATTCATGGCAGCATTATTCACAATAGACGAGTATGGAAGTAAGCTAAGTGTCCATCAGTAAATAGATCAAGAAAATTTGCTATACATACACAAGGAAATACTATTCAGCCTTGGAAAAAAGGAAATCCTGACATTTGCAACATGCATGAACTTGGAAGACACTGCGCTAAGTGAAATAAGCTAGACATAAAAAAAAAAAATACAGCATGATCTCACATGTGAAATCTTACAAAGTCAAACTCACAGTAACAGAGAGTGAAATGGTGTTTACCAAAGACTGGAGGGGGTTGGGGGAAATGACGAAATGTTGGTCAATGGGCACCGACTTTCAGTTACATAAGAGGAGTAAGTTCTGGAGATCTATTTCACAGTATGGCAGCCATAGTTAATAATAACATACTGTGTACTTGAAAAGTGCTAAGTGAGTAGATTTTTAATATTCTTACTACCCAAAAAAATATGTATGAGATGCTAAATAACTTGATTTAATTACTCCACAGCATATACATGGACCAGACTGAAGCAAGTGGACGCTGGAGGAAATCCTTGTAATTTTTGTTGTATCAACATTGAGGCAGCTGGTTACAAAACTAGTGCTGTACATCACATTGTACTTCATAAGTACATACAATACTATAAAAAAAGAAAAGAAAACTTTACTGAAGAACAATAAGAAAAGTCTACAAATAAAGAGCCAACTGTTCCTATATAAAAAACACTGGATAGTTCTTAAAATGCTAGTTTCACTGGGCTTGGTGGCTCACACCTGTAACCCTAGCACTTTGGGATGCCGAGGTGAGAGGATTGCTTGAGCCTAGGAGTTCGAGACCAGCCTAGGCAACATAGCAAGACCTTGTCTCTACAAAAAAAAAAAAAAAAAAAAAGCCCCAAAAGCCACTAGTTTTGTTACCAGACGCCTCCAAGTTAATACAGAAAAAATCACAGTGGTTTCCTCCAGAGTTCATTTGCTTCAGTCTGGTCCATGAGAGTTGCTGCATTTTCTGCCCATCAGTCAGCAGCCACAAGTCTGCCACCATCACTGTGGGAGGTAATCAACCCACGGGACTGGCACAGATCCACAGCAGACTTGATTGAGGTCAATCAATGGAAGCAGCAATGGAAGGTGGGTCCATGTGACATTTTTAAAGCCAGAGTCCATGAGGGAGGCCATGTGGAAGAGTAGAAAGCAGGTGGGTGGCAGGGCCAGTAAGGCAGCTCTAAGGCCAGCTTCTGGCACTCAGATGTTCTATTATTTACGGCATGTAACTTTGCATAGGCCCCAATTCCTCGCCTGTAAAATGGTGACTGCATCTCTGACTACATCATAGGATTGTCAACAGTCAGATGACAGACCTGATATAAAAGTGCTTAGCAAAGTATTACAGGCTCTACAAATGGAAATACAAATGAATTCTAGTATACTATACCATAACCGTAATGTATAGCAACAGAAATAATGTTTTTTCTGATTCTTTGTCTCCCCAACATGCAAAAATTAGTTGAATGGTAGCCCCCCCCCCCAAATATATCCACCCATAGCCTGCAAATGTGGCATTGTCTGGACAAAGGATCTTTGTAGATGTAATTAGGAGTCTTGATATAAAGTCATGCTGGGCTATCTGGGTGGACCCTAAATCCAATAACAAGAAAGACACAGATGAAAGCAGAAGGTGATATGAAAACTGAGGCAGAGATTAGAGTTGTGTACTACAAGCCCAAGAATGCCTGGAGCCCCTAAAAGCTAGGAGAGAGGCATGAAATAGATTCTCCCTCAGAAACTCCAGAAGAAACCAATCTGCTAACACCTAGGTTTCAGTCTACTAGTCTCCGGAACTATGAGAAACTAAGTATCTGTTGTTTTAAGCTACCCAGTTTGTAGTAATTTGTTATGGTGGCCACAGGAGTCTAACACTAACGGCAAACTGGATATTAACTAAATCTGAAGCAGATATTTGGAATGGAATATGGGGTATTCAAAAAACTCATTTTTGAGATCCCTGGGTGGTACACCAAAGAAATAGACAATATGAATTGATATTTAACAATGGGTTTATATGACAGGCCAACAGAAGCAACCTCTCATTATAAAGTCGGGTGCCCTACCAGAGAAAACAAACAGGGTTCAACTGCAAGCTCTAGGTAAAAAGTTTCAAGGGCAGGTATTCTGAAAGTATGGATTTACAGTCAAACTTCCTCTCACTTTGGCCACTCTAACATTGCAGAATCAGCAGAAACATAGAGTTAGTGTATCATCAAAGAGAGCAGACTCTCCACCAGCATAGAAAGTCAGCCACAGGAAGAAAAAACAACCCCAGAAGACTCAAAACAGACAGAAAACTTGGGAAAGTCCCAGAGCCCCACCCTCAACCTAGACTGGCTAGGCATTGGAGCCACACTCACCAAGGAGAAACCCTACAGCCACCATTGTAGCCAGCTTTCTCCCACAAGCGCCACCTCCTGGCCAGAGTTCAACAGTACAGCCAACCACAAAGGATATAATACCTCAGCTTTGGGGAAAGCCTGATCCCAAACACCAAGACAGAGAAATTTTAAAAACTATTCAAAACATGGATGAAAAATTATTCAAAGAGATAGACACATTAAAAAAAACTGAAATTCTGAAGTTGAAAGAAGCATTTAGGGAAATACAAAATGCCATGGAAAGTTTCAACAGTAGACTAGAACAAGCAGAAGAAAGGATCCCAAAACTTGAGGACAAAAGCTTTTTAATTAACCCGATCAGACAACAATAAAGAAAGAAGTATCAAGAGAATGAACAAAGTCTTCAAGACATGTGGGATTATGTAAAACATCCAAACCTAAGAATCATAGGTGTTCCTGAGAAAGAAGAGAAAGCATCAGGTTTGGAAAACCTATTTAAGTGTATAATGGAGGAAAACTTCCCTGGCCTTGCCAGAGATCTAAACATCCAGATACAAGAAGCTCAAAGAACCCCCAGAAGAGTCATTGCAAAATGGTCATCCCTAACATACATGATCACCCAGCAATGCAAAACTAACGTGAAGGAAAGAATTTTAAGAGAAGTGAGACAAAAGCATCAAATAACATACAAACGTAAGTCTATGAGACTAACAGCAGACTTCTCAGAAGAAACTCTGCAGGTCAAAAGGGAATGGGGCCCATCTTCAATCTCCTCAGACAGAATAACTGTCAGCCAAGGATTCTGTATCCCTCAAAACTCAGGTTCATAACTGAAGGAGAAATGACGTTATTTTCAAACAAACACTGAGAAAATTTATTACCACTAGATCAGCTCTACAAGAAATATTCAAAGGAGTTCTAAATACTGAAATAAAAGGTGAAAATACACTAGTAGAAAAACACAGGAAATCATGATGTTTACAGGCTTTATGGAACACCAACATGAAAGAGAAAATAAATAAACACAGCAACCAGATAACAACCAGCATGATGAATAGAATAGTACCTTATATATCATTATTAACTCTGAATGTCAATGGTCTGAATGCACCACTAAAAAGATATAGACCGACAGATGGATAAAAAACACAACTCAAATATCTGCTGCCTTCAAGAGCCCCACTTAATCCACAAAAATTCTTAATAGACTCAAGGTAAAAGGGTGGGAAAAAATATTCCACTCAATGGAAACCAAAAATGAGCAGAAGTAACCATTCTCATATCAAATAAATCAGATATTTTAAGTTAACAACAGTTAAAAAAAAAAGACAAAGATGGCTATTATAAAATGATAAGGAGATCAATTGAACTAGAGGACATAACAATTTTAAATATATATGCACCTAACACCAGAGGCCCCAGCTTTATAAAACAAATTCTACTGGACCTAAAAAAAAGATAGACAGCAATAAAATAATAGTGGAGGACTTCAATACTCCACTGACAGCAATAGACAGAACCTCAAAGCAGAAAGTCAAAAAAGAAACACTGGAGTTAAACAGGACTCTAGGGGAAATGGAACTAACAGACATCTACAGAATATTCTAACCCAAAACTACAGAATATGTATTTTTCTAATCAGTACATAGAAAATTCTCCAAGATAGACCATATGATAGTGTCAATAAATTCAAAAACATTGAAATCATATCAAACACCATCTCAGACCACAGTGGAGTAAAACTAGAAATTAACTCCAAGAAGAACTCACAACATCAAAACAAAGGCATAGAAGTTAAATAATTTGGCTCAACAAGAAATCAAAATGGAAATTTAAAAATTCCTTGAAACAAATGACAACAATGATCAAGTTAGCAAAAACCTTTGGGACACAGCCAAAACCATGCTCACAGGAAAATTTATAGTGCTTAAGGCCTACATTAATAAGACTGAAAGATCACATATTGACAACATAACGTCACACCTGAAAAGCATGAACAAACTGAATCCAAGCTATCAGAAGAAAAGAAATAATGAAGATCA